GATTTACGTTTCGGAAATTGTTTCAAAAGAAATTTAAAAAAGTGGCTACATTCTATATCTAGGACTGAAATTCATAAACTCATAAATACGAACATCAACTAAATACATAATCTACTGTAGCTAATTTTTGTCCTTTTTGTCATTTGCATTCTACAGTTTCAACTTAAATTTATTGGTCCATGTACAGGCGATGCCTTCTATTGGGCCTGTTTTGATTTTATATTTATTTACTCATATTTTTTGTTATCTTTGTACATTGAGTGAATAAATCTTATTATTATTATTATTATTAATTGTGGTGTTAGACGATTTCACATTTATAAATCAAGATTACTCACATCTGAAAGGTTCTAAAAGCATTCTGGCAGCGGTATTATGTAAAAAACCTAAAAAACAACAAAATGTCATCTTGCAGACTAGATAGTCTTCAGTGTCCAAATTGTTCATTTCACGTTTGCTCGCTATGATACCTATGAGCGCCATCAAAAGTGTCCATCTATGGAGGAATTACTCAACGAGACGACATGCATTGTTGGTTGCAGAATGCCGAGTAGTCTGTAGTGTTTATCTTTGAGAAGATTTGAAAAAAATAAACTTAGTTGAGTAGCAAATCTGGATGATTATATGTATTGATCTGCATTTGAGAAAATTATTACTGAATATGCTGCCAATGAAGTATATCTAATAGCTGTGCCCGATGGGTTATTTATATGGAGAGAGGTTGGCCCAAATAAGGAACACGCAAGACAACTGTTGAAATATGCTCTACTAGGCTCCACATGACTATCCGTAGTGAAATTTTTCCATCGTTGCACAACACTTAAAAAATGCAAATAAAAATTGGAAAAATGACGCCTTGACGTTAGACGCTAGACGTACGTACGTTTTGGCATCTGACCTTGTGATTCTTGTCACCTGGTTTGCGGCCCATCGGACGTTTTTGCTACCTTTGCTATTTTGTTAGAATGTCATAAAAAAGAAGCTTTAAATAAAATATTGAAGAATACCAGTGGAGAAACATGAGCAATAAGGCGTAATAGTGTTTGCCAAATAGCTAAAGGTGATTCCGATAAATATTGTGCAAGAACAAACAAAACAAGACTGGTGGTGTTTATGTTTTTATTAAAATTTGTATTTTTACGAATTGTTATAACATTTTAAAAAATTTATATCTTGAGTCCACAATTTACATATAAACAAAATAATTATTTATATTGTAGATTTCCATGTGTACAAATAGTGTGTGTCTATGCATACTAAGTGACATATAAATCCGAACACCCAGTTTAAATGGTTTTATTTTAATAAAAGTTGGTGAATGTAAAACTGTAAATAACAAGTAAAAAAATTTTCAGCCTTATCAGTTGGACATTCCGGTTTTTATACTGCTTTTTTTTAATTCACTAACGCTCTAAAAATGAACATTTCAGCCGCAGTAAAGAAACAACGTTGGCGGATTTTGGTTCTTGACATCCTTTACGATCGGTTACGATGCCTAGAGTACCGAGACTTGTACGATTTCGTCAACTTAGTGAGTTTGATAGGGGCCGTATAGTGGGACTTCGGGAAGCTGGACTTTCTTTTCGGGCAATTGCAGTTAGAGTGTTATCAGGCATGGCTTCGAGAAGGCCGTACGCAAAGAGCAAGGGGCACTGGACGCCGCCGTAGAACAACAGACCGTGAAGCCGCCTAAGATTATTGGCCTTAAGGGACCGTTTCTCCACTACCAGATCCATTGCAAATGAATGGTTTGCAGAACACGGAAGACCTATTGGCATGCGAAGTGTTTACCGACGAATGAGAAGTTTTGGCTTGTTTTCATACCGGCCACACTGGGTCCTCCCTTTAACTCGAGAACACCGACGTAATCGCCTTGAGTGGTGCAGACAACGGTCACTCTGTTTAGGCATGCACGATGGTCGAGCTAGGGTTAGAAGGCGACGTGGGGAAAGGAGGAATCAACAGTTTTTTGTTGAAAGACATGTTCATCACACTGTTGGAGTTATGGTTTGGGGTGCTATAGCTTATGGTTCCAGGTCACCTTTAATCTTCATCAGAGGTAACATGAAACGCGCAGCGTTATATCCACGAAGTTCTAGAACCCCATCTTTTACCCTATCTTGACACCCTGGCAGATCCAACTTTCCAACAAGATAATGCCCGGCCACATGTTGCAAGGGTCACAATAGACTTCTTTCAACATAATGATGTCACATTGTTACCATGGCCACCAAGATCTCCCGACTTATCCCCAATTGAGCACGTGTGGGATATGATGGGTAGGAGATTGCTCAATTTGCAACGTCCTCGTGAGACTCTAGCAGCACTTCGAGAGGAGTTGGTGGTTGCCTGGAATGAGATACCACAGGAGGACATTGACCACCTGATCAGAAGCATGCCTAGGCGCGTTGGAGAATGCGTAGCACATCAGGGTGCATCCACACATTATTAAAGGTCAAAGGGCTTTAAAGCAGTGCAATCATTTTGAAATTTTTATCATTTACTTATTATGCTTCATTAAGTACTTATACAAAATTTTATTAAAATAAAACCATTTAAACTGGGTGTTCGGATTTATATGTCACTTAGTATAGTTACGTGATAAATGTTTTCTTTTTTACAACATTCTTGCCACGCATTTTCATTCTTGAGTAGAGAGAAGCCCCAAGAAAATTATCAGTTGCATAGTGTACTTGAGATTAAAATATCAGCTTTCTCTCCTTTCCGAAAAAATTGCTAAGAACAAAGAAAAAATCTCCATTTCACAACCATCTTATTTACCATTTAGCATTAGACCTCACCTGAAGCATCAAATGTTTCCTTTGATTGACGATCGAAATAATTAGATACAATCATTAATCGTCGTATTGCTTCTCTGTCACGAAGTACTAAATGTCATTATTCACGAATACAAATCAACGAAAGATGTCACGATAGTCATAAATTTGGTGAATCGCCTCCGACGATAATTTCCTAAGAAAGTTTACAGACTTTCAATATTAGCTTCACCCACGGCGTATATGACAACATTTTCGTATCTGCGATCTTGATCTAGCCTCGAGTACGCCTCACATGTATGGGGTGCTGCCGCCTCGACTACATTACGCGATGCTGTTCAGAAGAAAGTTCTGACTGATCGTACGATTTTTCTCAAAAGGACAGTACCGCTTCTTTGTCCCTATCGGGTCGGGGATGTGGAACAGTTTGCCTGGAGAGTCTTTTCCCGGTTCTACTAGCCTTCAAAAGTCGGATTTACAAAATGTCTTTAAGCAGTCGCGGGGCCCCGGTGTTTAGACTCCTACCTCTCTTGTCAGTCCCATACTGTTGGCATTCTGTAAACCTTATCACAAAGCAAACGCACTTCCCCACGTCTGAAAGCGATTAGTTTTTACTTAACCTACTGGCAGCGACCGAGTTCGTACATCCGATGTCGATGATTATTGCATGATTGCTAACGGAATACTAATCAACAACTGTTCAAGAATGCATACGACCGAACTTAGAAAGAAAGCAGCACGTAGCCGTCGTATAAGCACATGTAATGTTTCCGCAACATAGGTATTTCCGATGGTTGTTCGCAATGCCGTGTTATGTAAGATTAAGTTAACATCTGAATCCCTTGATTTAGGAACTATGTTACACAACATCCGAAACCGGTACCCCTAGTCAAGCGGAATCACATAGCACCAATATACAAAAAGATCGATCCCCAGGGATCGGTATTGACTCTTTACATATAGTCGAAATCACGAAAGATGACGATTACGTCATACCATAAATTGTAACGAAATAATTACCGGACGTACGTCGATGATAAGGTTACGATGTCAGGAACATGTGATCGAAGTTAGCTGATTTCAGTGATTATTTTTATTTATTCTATTTCATGATTTTAAATTATCATTATCCGTGCACAAATTTACATTTTAATACTTACTTCTATTTGCAATAAAATTACATATTTATTAAAAAAAAAACAGCATTTCCTCTGGTCACAATAATAGTACGTTTTTTAACCTATTTTTCATCTAATATTGTTGAGTCCCCAAAATTATATAAAACATATATCACATAAAATAAACTGTACATTTCAATATGTTATTCCATTACTTATGGTCAAATTCAGATTAAAAATTAATCGCTACTGTCAGATTCAGTACCGCTATCTGAATCAAATGAGATTATCAGTGGTTCTATTTCACGAGTAATAGTTTTGTTGTACCACTCTAAAATTACATCATGGGTATGCTTCACACATTTTTCCCAAACCTCTGGTGTAATTTGTGACAGAGCTTCATTCCACATAGCTAAAACATTTTCATCACTATGACCACATCTTCAAATATGTCTATCATAATACTGCTTAGCATTAGCCCATATAAATTCGATGGCATTAAATTCACACTGGTATGGGGGGGTACGAAGAACTTCATGTCCATAACTTCTTATGACATCATCTATTAAATACTTCTTTTCCTTACGATTTCTTTTCACTATATTCAATAACTCCACTTTAGTTAATGTTGGTTGGAACACAATTTCATTTTTAACCAGCCAGTCAATAATCGCTTTTTTTGGAGTCTTTTCCAATAAAATGCTATGATAGGATGCATTATCCATAATTATCACTGATGGCTCTTCCAAGTTGCAGAGGAGTTTTTCTTTTAACCACTTAATGAATGTCTCGCCGTTCATATCACCATGGTAATCTGCAGATTTAGACTGCGAGGAAAATAACAGACTTGCTCCATCAACAAATCCTTTTTCGCTCCCTGCATGGACAACAATAAATCGCTTTCCTTGAAAGCCCAATGGTCTCCTTACACTTTTTATTGACTCATCTTGCCAAGACTTTTTTGGACTGCCTTTTGAAAATATCCATGTTTCATCCATGAACACAATTTGATGCGAGGAAGTGTTCACATAGTCATTATAACTTCTCAAAAATTTGGTGCGAAGTAAAGCAATACTGGATTGCTCAACTAGAAATCTTCTATTACCATCTTTTTTATATTTAAAGCCTATGGTGGGCAGCACTCTTTGTAAAGAGCTATTGATGATAGAAGCAAGCTCTTTCTCTTTAAGCGTTTTATTCAAATTTGCTATTGTGACATGTTTCTCTGAAACAAAACAAAAAATCAATAATTTGGAATGTACCGTCTCACGCTCATTATCATTACTTTCACTATACATTTAATACACTGTATCTCGTATATTATGCCTGACTGCATCAGATAAATCTGTTGTCTTAGACTTTTTTCTGGGTCTCTTCTTTCCAGGTGATCTTAGGACATTATCATTTGATGATAAACGGCGCTGTATTCTGGTAATAGTGGAAAAACTGATACTTAGTGCCTGAGCCACCCTCTGAAACATAATATAGAATAAATTGTCAATCATATGACCATATTTCTAACTCTTACAAACCTCTTGGACAGCTAATAATGGTAATAGAGGCCCTCCATTATCCTTTTCTTGTTGAAAATAATTCAGCAAGGATAGTACCAAGCCCTGTGATTGAGAGCTAAGAGTTTTGCCTTTCATAGCGAAAACTAGAATTAAAGTCTTAAATGATGCTCTTATGTTGGAAATTATTTAGTTTCTACCTTAATAATAATTTTTATGAGGAGTTTTTGTTTTGAAAAAAACAGTTATACACACAACAGAATACACCTCAAGACAGGAACACCAACGACCAAAGTATTGTTCGAAAACAACCTAACCTGCAACGAACTGTCAACACGCTGACATGACATAACCTCACTTGTCATCTTTCAAATGTGATCGATCATAGAACATGCAAAAATCGTCTGTCTTTATCGGATACATGCAATTCAGCAATACTACTTGTTTAGACAATAAAATTTTGTTTGTCTCTGTCTAACACATCTGAACCTTCATTTAAAAATATTCACAAATGGCTGTCGTTTGTCTTTACTACAGATTAAAATGATGACGTAATCGTCATCTTTCGTGATTTCGACTATATCAACAACCTCATCTTCTGCACGATCGATCCCATCCACATCTTTGGTGCCCACTACACGCAGGCCTCTGTTGAGAGATCTGGAAGTTGTCACCGCTAGGGGACCCAACAATCTGATACAGTTTAAGCGTTCCGAAACACACCACTATGTCTTGACTGACACAAAGCACCGTAGCGCTCACCCTGTTGCAATGGATGGTAGAATTCTGCCAAAGAGCCATTCATCTCGGCTGGTCAGAGTCTACAGTATACTCAGATAAGAGATAGACCGGACATAAACAAGACCACGTGATCATCGAACGCTGTAACATTCGGCAGGGACGTATTAAGAGTCACGCAGTACATATTTTAGATAGTAGATGCTGCTTTGCGTAACTTTGTAGTAAATTAGCACAATTCGATGTGTATACAATTGGTGATGGATATAGGATTATGTGGGGGTGGGGTAAGAAATATATAATGATGTAAATATGCATAAGGGTTTCAAAATTTTCGCTTCGATTTCCAGCTTCGGATGCCGCCTGATGTTTGGTGAAATACAGTCGAATATAATCTCAAAATGGCGTTTAAATTAGCCTAAATTAAAAATAATCGTATATCTCTTAAAATTGCTTTTAGAATATTGATTAGTATATTTTTTGATTTCTAGGTAAATATGTAACCAAATTAAAACGTTCAAAACGTAAAAAAATGTGCATGGTTGAACATTGTCAGAAAGTAGATTCTTGAATAGGTTTTGCCAAAATGGGTTGAAAAATGTCAATAATTAATTAAAAAATACAGTAGCTTTATAATTACTTATAACTTACCGAATTTGATGAACGACATCTTTTATTGGAAAGATGAGCTTGATGAGCTTTCATCATCGCTACGCCTGAAGCACCAACGTCAATAATGAATGGCTCGACTTGTTCCTCTAAAATATTGTCCAGTTCCCACATTCTCTTTTCAACTTTGTCTTTCCCGTGCTTAATACAGTTTTCCCATTTTTGCGCTGTCATTAATTCTAGTGCTTCTTTGAAAAGTCCTTTGAGGTCGCAAAATTTAAAAGTTGTATTGTGCTTAGCTATATAATTTTTAACCTCTGCCCATATGAGCTCAATGGGATCGAGCTCGCAATGGTATGGAGGTAAACGGAGCACACTTTTATTTTGACTTGCTGCCATTTCGTCAATGGCGTATTTTTGATATTCCGCCTTGTGATCCTTGACAATTCTTAATAATTGTACTTTCAGCATTGCTTCTTCAAAGTTGATATTTTTCGAGCGGAGCCAATTTTGAACATCAACTTTCCTTGAAGCCGTTGTTGGGACCTTCTCCATTCTTCGAGAATGATAAGGCGCATTATCCACCACAATTACTGCGTTTTCCTCTAAGTTCGGTAAAATTTTTGAAAACCACTGTTCAAACGATTCGCCATTCATTTCCTCGTGGTAATCTCCAGTTTTCTTAGACTCAAAGCACCACAGACCGTCAACAACAAATCCATCCTCACTGCCAATATGGCAGATAATGAGCCTTTTCCCTTTACCTGGAAATCGAAGTACTAACTGGTGTAGATTTATTTCAATAAGCGAACCTTTCTCAAATGTTTTCATTACATTCAGCGAAAAAACATTGAGACATGAGTATCAGATTGCTATAATTGGGATTATTTAGTCATATTGAAAGAAAGAATATTGAACGCTTCACAATTTAATTTAAAGTTATAAACCTTTAAAAAATGAATGATCAGGAACCTGAAATACGCGCAAATATTAATATTCACAAATTTTAACTTTATAAAGCTTAAAGTATGAATTAAAATGATTAGAAATATTAGGAACGGTACACAATATAAAACTTAGTAACTTTTTTTAAGTTTATAATATTCGACATATTTTAAGATTATATTAAAAAATTATTGAAATATCGAAAACACATAAAAACATGGCTTAAAAAAGTTCTAACAAATGAAAATGACAATAAAACATCCACGCATTTTATCGAAAGTTATAAAAGTTTTGTTACTTGTAATATGTTTTATCTGCCCCCTGGAATTAATGTTTAGAACCTTGTTCCCAAGGTTTGAAAAACATCCGATTGTTGTCTATTACTCGTATTTACCTGCTGGATTTTTTAATCCGGTGGACAGTCCATCTAGAAAGGCCCTCCAGGATGAAGTTACAGAATCATCAACCCATACTTTACTTGTAGTGTGTCCTGCGTTTACCCACGTTTCATCAAGGTAATAAATCTTCCTGTTTTGATTTCTATATTTCCCAATTTTTGTTAAATAATCCCTCCTCCATAGCACAATTTCTTCTCTATCCAGTAGTAAACTATTACGACCCCGTTTTTTCCATTTGAAATTTAAATGCTTCATTAATGCATGGCAAGTTGATCGTTTGAAATTTGGCAACGTTGTATCTCCATTTACCTCCTGCAGTACTTTATCTATAGTAGGTATTTCATTCCTAAAGAAGAATTCATGCACTTATCTCCTAATCGCATGCTTATCAGCTTCATCCAATGATTTAACAATACTTTTGCGATGTTTACTGGTCATTGGCTCAGAAAAGGTGTGATTTTTTTTGTATTGTCTTAACACATTAAACACTGATGCGCGACACACCCCAACTTTGTGAGAAACCTTCACAACAATTTCTTTGATGGTTGATGCCTCGTTCTCCTCGCGCTCGATCTTATATATATTCAAAATGACCTCTTTCATTTCTGCACTCAGGTGTCTTTTTTTAGAGCGTTTCCTAGGTGGACTACAGGAGTTTACAACTTCATCGGCAGTATCTGTACTACTGGGCATTTTGCGCAAGCAGTTGATAACAATAACAATCAATAACAAGGTATAACAATAACAACGACAAACTCAACAACTTAATAAGATAACAAACGAAAACGTCCAAAGAAGTATCAAATTGCTATGATGCACACGATATACGTAACACGTCTGAACCTGAATGTGACTCTGCCTTGATACGACTGCTCTGCCGCTCGGCATAGGCATTTAATTGCGAATTGACCAATGAGGGCTCCTGTTTTACGTCGAGACGGGGGCGTTAGCGTGAAAATCACCCGAACCTTTTGTTTACATCCGGTCTATCTCTTATCTGAATATACTGTAGATCACCGAGGACTTGATTTGGCAAGAGGACGTCTCTTCAGTTATGTAGTGGTAGCTGCTGGGAAAAAGCTAGGCTATCTGCTCAGGGCTGAGAAATACTTTTCTCCACATATCTGTACAAGGTCCAGATAAGCCTCGAGTACTAATTATATCGTCCCCTTTCTCACAAAGTGATCTAACTGACAAAATACCAAAAATTGAGATAACCCGCGTATAGATGTATTTTTCTATGCCGCTTAACCTGACGAAGAGGCATAACTATATATCTATTGGTGTAGGCAACATACCATTTACGCCTGGGTGTCTTATCTGTAAAGGTAAATATATAATTCCCACGAAGAGACCTTAATGAAGATAGGTCCCTTAGTGTGCAATAATTCTCGTTATTATATGCACCTCGGTGGTCGAATCTTGGCCAAAGTGAGGGAGACTCTGCCCACAGTGCAATTCATACTGCGCTAAAGGGAGCTGGATATCTTTTTGAGCCATCAGAACTCTAACCGGTTTTTCGATAGGCTAGAAGTCGTCAACCTTATTCAGTAATCCCATTGAATTTTTTCACTGCAAGAAACTTTCAAAAGGTTTAAGAATGTTGTCCACACGGCAAACTGAGAAAGGCCAAAATATTAAATGGAGTTTATGGTAAGAAAAGACTTGCCCACCAAAATATTTTTCAAGTCTAGCCACCACGATACTAGTTATGACAGTATTGAATTTTAAAGCCTGATGAGAAGTAGTGATAATAACGGGTGATTTTTTAAGAGGTATAGGATTTGATTTTCAAAAAAAATTTGAAAAAACGATTAAATCTTTATTTGAGTCGATAGAACGGTCGATATAATTTAATGTTTAATGATTATTTTATGTAAATGTTGGCCGCGGCTCCGCTTTAGATGGCCCATGCGCAAGGTCCAATTTTGGAACACTCTCTCCAACATATCGGCCGGTATCTCACGAATAAATGCTTCAATATTGGTTTCTAGTGCGTCAATCGTTGCTGTTTTATCCCTGTAGACATTAGCCTTAACATGGTTCCACAAGAAATAGTCCAACGGCGTTAAATCACACGATCTAGGCGGCCAATTG